GTGGATGGTGAAGGGGAAGCAGGCACATCACCTGGCCAGAGCAGGGACAAGAGAGAAAGATGGAGGGGCCACGTGCCTTTAAACACCAGGGGTCCCAAGGGGATGATACTAACCATTTAGGAGAAATCCACCCCCATGATCCAGTCACCTCCCACCAGACCCCATCTCCAACACTGGGGATTACAATTCAACGTGAGATTTGGGTGGGGACACAAATCCAAGCTATATCAAGATGTATACCAAAAGTGATATAAAACAGAATAACTAAGAATACTAAACGAAAAAGTGGCATAGAAAGAGGGAAAAAATAAAAAGGAACAGATGGAACAAATAGAATACAATTAGCAAACTGATATTTTACATTTAAGTAGATCAACAATTAAATTAAATGCAAATTATCTAAACATCAAAACCAAAACCAAAGACACAGATTTTTAATTGGATTAAATAATTCAGGATCCAACTATATTCTATCAACCAGAAGCCTCAGATTAAATGTGAAAACATAGGTTAAAAGTAAACAGATGGAAAAATATACCACACAAACATTAATCAAATAAAATTGGAATGGCTATATTAATATCAAAGTCAACTTCACAACAGAAATATTACCAGGGATGAAAAGGAATATTACATAATGATAAAGCATCAATTCATCATGAAAACATCACAATTCTAAATGTGTAAGCAAGCACCGAACAGCTAAGTTTCAAAACACATGCGACAAAAAGGCTCAGAAGGGAAAGGAGAAACAGACAAATCAGAGCCCTCGTTGGACTTCAGCTTCAAGAGAACAAGTAGACAGGAAACCAGGAAGGATACAGAAGGCCTGGACAACAGCATCATTCAACTTGACCTAATGGATGCTTACAAAACACCCTACCCGACAATAACAGATACACATTCTTCTCAAGCACACGTGAAACATTTACCAAAAAGACTATTTTCTGTGCCATAAAATAAGCATCAATCTATGTAAAAAAATTGAACTAATACAATTTATATTTTCTGACTGCAAAGAAATCAAACTAGACACTAACAACAAAAGATAGCTAGAAACGCCTGCAGAATTGTAAATTAACCAACACACTTCTAAATATCCCCTGGTTCAAAACAGAATCACAAGAGAAATTAGAAAATATTTTGAATTAAATGCAAATGAAAAGACAATATGTCCAAACATATGGAACATGGCTAAAACAGTGTTTAGAGGGATAAAATTGTATCAGTAAGTGCTTATATTCACATAGAAGGAAGTTCTAAAATCAATTATCTAAGTTTGCACTTTACAGAAAAAAAGGCAAATTAAACTCTAAATAAGCAAAAGACATGAAATAATTTAAAAATCTACCAAAAAAATTAAAGTAGAAAATGGAAAAAAATTCAATGAAACTAAGAACTGCTTCTTTGAAAAGAACAGTAAAATAAATAAGCACCTAGCCAGACTGATCAGGAAAATTATAATAAAAAGAAAGAAGAAACACAAAATAGCAATATTAGGAGTGAAAAAGAGACATCATTACAAATCTTATGATTATTAAAAGCATGATACAGGAATGATGTAACCAACTTCATAGCACTAAATTTCATAACTCACACAAATGTGGCACTTTTTTTTTTGGAGATGGAGTCTCGCTCTTGTTACCCAGGCTGGAGTGCAATGGCGCGATCTCGGCTCACCGCAACCTCCGCCTCCTGGGTTCAGGCAATTCTCCTGCCTCAGCCTCCTGAGTGGCACATTTTTTAAAAGACAAAAGTATGAAAGCTTTTTCCAGAGAAGTAGGTAACCTGAATAGTATCACATCTATGAAAGAAGTTGAATTTGCAGTTAAAATCTTTCAACAAACAAAACTAGGGACAAATGGATTCCCTGGAAAATTCTACCAAACATTTAAAGAAGAAATATAACCAATTCTACGGGAACTCTGCCAGAAAATAGAAGGAAAGGAATCATTCCCAATTAAATTTATAGGGCCAGCATAATCTTGACATCAAATTTGAACAAAGTATTATAAGAATACTACATATACTATTAAAAATATACAAAAATTCTCAGCCAAATACTAGCAAATTTAATCCAGAAATATGTAAAAGAGATAAAAGGTTGTGATCAAGTGGGACTTATCCCAAGAATGCAAGGTTGGTTCGGTGTTAAAAAATCAACTTATATAATTCACTATATCAACAGACTAAAGAGGAAGTCCTATATTATTATCTCAATAGATTCAGAAAAGGCTTTCGACGAAATTCAACATCCATTCAGAAAAAAAACTGCTAACAAAATAAAAATAAAAGGCGCTTCTTTTAAAGAGCATCTATGAAGAACCTATAGCTAATGTCATACTTAATGATGAAAGACTATATGCTTTCCCCGTAAAATCAAGAATAAAGCAAGAACCTTCACTTCTACCTCTGCTATTTATTACCACACGGAACTTCCTAAACAGTGCAATAAAGAAAGAATAAGCAGCAAAAAGTATGCAGGCTGGAAAGGAAGAAATAACACTGTCTCTACTAACGTATTACATTATTGTCTATGTAGAAAAACCCCCAAAATTCTACAATAAAGCTACAAGAACTGGGAAGTAAATTTAACAAGGTCAAAGAAAAAATGGCAATACATAAAAATCCATTTTATTTTAACGTACTAGCAACAAACAATCAGAAGCTGACACTTGAAAATAGTGCTGTAATACCATTAAACACTATAGAATACTTGGGGATCAATTCTAGGGGAAACATACAAAACGTGTACATTGAAAACTACGAAATACTGATGAGAAAATTGGAGAAAACCTAAATAAATAGACCATGCTATGGACTGCTGGATATAGCAACTCTCCTCTAACTGATCTATAGTTTCAATACACTCCTAATCCAATTATCAGCCTAAATTTATAGATACTGATAAGATTATTTAAACATCTATATGGAAAGATAAACTGGAGTAGCCTAAACAACATAAGAAGACCAAGTTGGAGAACTCGCACTAGCTGATGTCAAGACCTACGATATAGCTGCATTTATCAGCATATGACCCAGCTAGTCCACTCCTAGACATTTACCCAAAGGAGAGAAAGAAATATGTCAGCGTGAAAACCTGGACACGCTAGCACAGGCTCCACGGGGAACGTGACCAACACAGGATGTGGGCTCCAAGTGGCCCTGAGGGCCCCGCAGCTCTGGAGGGCAGGGGCTGAGCTGGGCCTCATCCATGCTTCTCTGAGCACAGGGCCGGGAGTTTCTCCAGAAGCATTTTTTGGTTACCAACCCTCCCTCCTCTCATGCTCTGATTTCCAGTTTCACCTCCAACTCCCAACCTGGGGGGACCAGAGTGCTTACATGTGTGCCCGTGTGTGTGTGTGCCCGTGTGTGTGTGTGCCCCTGTGTGTGTGTGCCCATGTGTGTGCCTGTGTGTGTGCCCGTGTGTGCCCGTGTGTGCCCGTGTGTGTGTGCCTGTGTGTGTGTGCCCATGTGTGTGTGTGCCCGTGTGTGTGTCCGTGTGTGTGTGCCCGTGTGTGTGCACCCGTGTGTGCCCATGTGTGTGCCCGTGTGTGTGTGTGCCCATGTGTGTGTGCCCCTGTGTGTGTGTGTGTGCACGCTGTATAGTGCACACATTGGGTGTGTTCATGGGTTTGAATGTGCTCAGCTGGGAGCATTTATATGTCTGAGCTGATTAGTTCCATTTCTTGCTCAGTTTTATCCAGAGCCCCCCAGTTTAAACAACACAATACGTCCCTGACCACCTTGCCTAAAAGATTATGAAACCAGTTTTTCAACTCTAAACTCAACACCTGCCTCCAAGGCAAATAAAAAGCTTGGCATCTAAGGCAGCCAGGAGTGAGAATGTTTCTTGGGGGACAGTTCTATCTGGAATAGCAGACTCCTAGGGCAAGAGGGCCGGCCCTTCTACTGGGGAAGGTTTAACCTGAGACAGTCACAGCAGAGCCCCGCCGAGAAGGATGCACTCAGCCAGGGGAAATGCGAAGAGCAATGCTACCAGCACAACACAGACTGGGAAAAGCAAGCTCCAGCATGCATTCCCTCTTCACACCGTCAGAAATTACTAAATTAGAAAACACACACTTCAGGAATACACAGAGATATGACTCAGCTCTACTTTTTCTAGAAAGTAACAGAATAAGAAGCACATAGCCTGTGATCCTGGCACTTTGGTAGGCCGAGGCGGGTGGATCACGAGGTCAAGAGATCGGGACCATCCTGGTCAACATGGTGAAACCCCATCTCTACTAAAAATACAAAATTAGCTGGGCATGGTGGCGCGTGCCTATAATCCCAGCTACTCAGGAGGTGGAGGCAGGAGAATTGCCTGAACCCAGGAGGCGGGAGGTTGAGGTGAGCTGAGATTGCGCCGTTGCACTCCAGCCTGGGTAACAGGAGCGAAACTCCATCTCAAAAAAAAAAGCAGCACACAATCCCAACAGTGGCTGCCCCAAGAAGTTCATAGCAAATTATTGATGATGTGCTCATTTCTATGTCCAGCGGTGGGTTCATGGGGGTTTATTACATTAGAATTCTCAGTAATTGATCATCAGTCAATCAGTAAAAACTGGGCCTTTGGGGACCAATGATGAGAGTGTGTGCTGCAGAACGGATCCAGGTCTGTAAACCTGAGATCCTCCATGACCTGGGAAACAGGACGTCCACCAGCAACGTGAGAAAACCCAATCCTCGGTGCTCTGAAGCTTTGGCCATCAACGCAGGGCTTGCCAGGCTGGAGCAGGAGTGGGCAGTCGGTGGGGAAGCAAGACCACTCCCCCACAGGCAGGTAAATCATCGCTGTGGCCACTGCCCCTGGGCCCCGGGAGCCTTAGGAGACACCACATGGGCATCTGTAGCCACGCCCTCCACCCGGGACAGCACCCTCTGATGAGCACTGTGCAATGGGATTGCTGAAGAGGGTTTAGCAGTAAATTCTATGTAATTGGTGGAATAGGTAGCGGGCAACATAGGAATAAGAAAGACCGGAAACATGGAGCTGTGTGGGGAAAGCTGGTTTATTTGGCTCTCCGGGGGTCAGAGAATGACTCGGGGATCCCAGACTGCCCTGGAGGGATGTGCAGGGTCAGCGAGGGCTCCAGATCATTCTGTCACATTCTCAACCCAGAATTCAGAGGGTTCACTGAGCATGCTTTTCACCAGCCCCAAGTGCAGAAGAACAACTGAGGACTCGTCCGGGGAGGGTACGGGTGTGGCCCCGTCTGCACTGGGAGCAGCAGGTCTGCACACTCGTGGTCAGCAGCAGGAAGGGATGCTGCAGGAGATGGGTCTGCAGAGGACGCTGGTGCAGGAGGGCTGGCAGCACCCAGAGGGCTGGCAGGAGGGGGCCACACACACAATGGGCCTGCAGCTCACAGGCACAGACACAGAGGACTGGCACCTCACAGGCACACACAGGGCTGGCTTGAAGCTCATGGGCACACACACGAAGGACTGGCAGCCCACGGGCACACAGCAGGATGCCTGGCAGGAGCTGGGCAAACAGCAGGCTGGCTGGCAGCCTGAGGAGCAGCTGGTGTGGCACATGGTGGCGTGTGGCTGGATAAGGTCGAGGCAGAGGGCAGTGATGTCTGGCAATGGCTTCCCCAGGCAGCCTTTATACCTGGACCCAGGCATCCCCCTGGCACAGAAGCGCAGCTGTCTTCCTTGTTTTTTCTTCCTCAAGGGTGTTTCCTGGAACTCAGTTTTCTGTTGTAGATGCTCATGTTTCTTACTTGGCCATTAGTTTCATAACTAATTGCACCTTCCTCAAGCACTTGTTCCATTTGGAAAGCTGCCCAAATTTATTAGTGACGCACATGCAGATTTAGACCCAGCTGACTGATCCCTGCCTCCCTTCATTAGTCCTACACTGAAGCAGACATGACCGGTTCCCAGAGGACCTCCTCAAACCACAGCTTCTGTCGCATCAAGCAGAAACTTTGGGGAAGAGACCAGAGGTGAACACAGACAACGTAACCCTACTGGGACCCCTGCCGCCGGGAGTGTGCAGAGCTGGCCCCTCCATCAGCCGCACAGCTGAGATTTACGAGACGCTCGTTTCAGGCAGCGGTCAACCAGCCGTGCAGACTGTGATTCCTGAGAGCAGAAACAGGAGGAAGAAGGAACTCCCACCCCCCAGCTCTCTGCTGGGGCACGCGTCCAAAGGGCAGTGACAGCAGCTGGAGTTGCAGCCGAATACAGCTGCCGAGGAGGGAGGGGCCGGTGCCAGGCAGTCAAAGCCCCGGAGTCTGAGGAGCAGGGAAGCCGAAGGAAGGGTCGGTGGGGAGAGCAGGCCCCGCCATGTGAGAGTCGGCTGAGAATCTGGGGATGGGGCAGGGATGTACCTTAGCAGGGAAAGGCCACCGCAGACTCACCAGAGAGAAGCTTCTCACCAGAGAGAAGCTGCCAGAGGAATGAGAGTGGAGCACTCGCTTCAGCCTCCCCGCCACCAACATCCAGCCCAGACCCCCTACAGCCCAGCACCAAATGAGTAAGGACCACAGACTGGAGTGAGACCCGCCCAGGCCAGGCCAAGCAAAGCCGAAACCAACCCAGAACAGGAGTTTTAGGGAAGGCAGTGTGGAAGGTGAGTCCCACCGAGATATAAGTGTTCCAAGTTGTAGACACTTCTCAGAGATCCACCAGCAAAGTGTCCAGCAAACACTGCACAAGGTCAAGGTCATCCTCCTGTAACTGACGGCTGGAACAAAACTCAGAAACACAACGGAGCTCAGAGTCTGTAAATGCATTATGATAACAGCTCACGTGCAATCAAAGTCATCGGATATTGGCCAGGCACAGCTGTTCACGCCTGCAATCCCAGCACTCTGGGCGGCCACGAGTTTGAGACCAGCCTGGGCAACACAGTAAGACTCTGTCCCTACAAAACAATGTTTGAAAATTAGCCAGACATGGTGGTGCATGCTTGTGGTCCCAGCTACTAGGTAAGTTGAGGCGGGAAGACCTACTGAGCCTGGATGGTAGGGGCTTCAATGAGCTATGATCACACCACTGCACTCCAGACAGGACAACAGAGCAAGACCCTGTATCAGAAAATATCATCAGATATCAAAAGATATAGGAAAATGTAATTCACTGCTAAAAACAGAAAGGAAAACAAAGATGGTGCCGCTGTTGGGCCTGGCGCCCGAGGACTGCAAGCGGCTTTACAAGCATGCCCGAAACTCCAAGGAAACCACGCTCAGATAATTAGAGGAAAGCGCCGTCTTCATGAATGGATAAACGGAATCTCAGTAGAGAACTGAAGCTATTTCTGTAAATGGGAATCCTAGAACTGAAAAGTACAATAGTCAAAATGTTTAAATATGCCGAATTTGAATTCAAAAAAACAACTTACACATACAGGAATCTCAGAAAACCCCCAGTAGGATGACTATAAAGAAAAGCACGTCCAGGCGGCAATAAAGGGATGAAAACCGAAAGTATCAGAAGCAGCGGCCGGAAGACACTTTCCATACAAAGAAGCAGGGACAAGAACAACCCCGACTTCTCATCAGAAACAACGGAGCCCCATCTTTAAACTACTGAGCAACAAAAACTGGCAACCCAGACTCTACATCTAAGAAGAACGCCCTTGAAGAGTGAGATTGAGGCGGGGCCTGTGGCTCACACCTCTAACACCAGCGCTTTGGGACGCCAAGGCAAGAGGGTCACTTGAGCGCGTGAGTTGTAGACCAGCCTGGGCAACAAGCGAGACTTCATCGCTGCAAGGAATTTAAAAATCAGCCAGGCATGGCGGTGTGCACCCACAGTCCCAGCTGTGCAGGAGGATTGCTCGAGCCCAGGAGTTGGGGGCTGCGGTGAGCTATGACTGCACCATCACACTTCAGCCTGGGAGACAGCAAGAAGGGTCTCAAAAAAAAAAACCAGAAACTGAGATTATAGTGAAACCCTGTTCAGAAGAGCAAATGCTGAGCGAAATCCTCCCCCGCAGATGTGCGCTGCAGGCAGCATGGAGATGTCCTTTAGGTCGACTAGGACGAGGCCAGGTGGAGCCTCACCTGCAGGAAGGAGTGGGGGGCACGGCGGAAGGTAAAGGAGCAGGTAAACATCAAAGACATGTGCTCCTTCTTCTGTAACCGACTCATAAGTCAACTAACCTTTAAAATGTATTACCTGGTGACTAGGTCACACAGGAACACGCGGTCACTGTGGCTGCCCCAATTCTCTTTGTTTTTAAGTGAGATTTTGCACTATAGCCAGGGAAAGGAGTGGCCTGTGACAGGGCTGACTGTCTGGCCTTGCCGGGCTGGTCCCTAGGACTCAAGGTCACTCCCACCACATGACCAAGGATCGACTGAGTCCGTAGACTTCCACGTTCTGTCCACAGCTCTGAGACCCCACTTGGTCTTCAGCCTTGGAGGGGGTTTTATTTACATGGTGTCTGACTTGTGCAAAGGCTTCCTGGCGGGAATCCGCTGTACCCACCAGCAGCAGGCACAGGAGGACCCACGCAGGAGCAGAGGGTACCCCTGGGAGCTGCCTGGGCTGGAGGGGCATAGCTCTGCCCTGAGAGAGGGTTCATCCCCCACCGTGTGACAACAGCCTAGAATAAAGTGCTGTGGCTACTCCATCAAAGGGAACAGCTGGGAGGGCGCAGCGGAGCACACGGAGGAGCATGTCACCCACACTCCTGCCCGCTGCTTCCCCGTGTGCAGAGGCTTCCTGGAATTCCACGCCAGCTCCTCACTTTTCCCCAAGCTGCCTCTGCAGGGGTGAGAACGATCAGACCCTCAGCGTAGGAGAGGAGACAGGCACGAGTAGCTCAGGCCCCCTCTCCATGATGGGTCCTCCTGGGCTCTGTCTGCAGAGGAGGTGGCCTGTGGCCGCTAGTGCTACTCGTGTCGAGGTGGGCACTTCTGAGGCGTGGTGTCAGGGGGCCCGCGGTGATCACACGCCTGAGCCATGCTCTGCAGAGGCCGGTGTGGCCGGCCTTTCCATCTGCCAGTCCCTCACTCTTCGCTGTCCCAGCTGGTTCAGGACTTGAGGATGAGTCACTCACTGGACCCTTGAGCTCAGTACGCACAGTGGGAACGACCGTGGATTCCAGAGTGAAAGGAAGCAGTCTGGATCCCTGCGTCTCTGCCTGGCACGGACACACACCCTCCTGCAAACGCTCTACGACCTGCAACTTGCACATCTGTAAAATGGGGTCTCGGCCACCCCAAATGCTGGCAAGGATGAATGAAATAACCCCATAAGATGCCAGCCCCAGCCTGGCACAGCGCTAGACCGCTGTGCATTATTGTCACCCCAACCTTCATTATTGTTTTTCCACAGTATAGAGCCCCGTAGCTTGGCTCTCATTACTTGAGAAGACCCTGATGATGACAGAGCTTCTCCATCTAAATGGGCTCCTGGTGCAGTGAATGTGATTTTGCTGTGTGAGCTCCAGATGGCATTTACCCTGGGGGGGCCCTGAGCATCCATGGGGTTGGCCCCTGGCCTCACTGACAGCCCTTCACCAGCTACCCCCAGCTGTTTCCTAGAAACACACGGTCTGCTGAGTCCTGGGAGCCCCCAGCTCAGTTTCCTGAACTGAGTAACCTCAACAAGAAAACCAGAAAGATCAACAGGAGAGGGCAGAGGAGAAAAATTCACCCATGAGGAAGATGGCCAGGGGCTTGCTGCCAGGATGCCCGTGGCCTGCCCTAGCTCCACGCTGCATCCCCTCCACTTGCTGCCCACCCAGGGCTGTGGGACCCCCTGCTGCCACCTGGCCCCCCCCATGCCACTCTGCTGTGCCAGCCCCTGTAAGGGGCATCCGCCTCCTGCCAGCCACCTGCCTCGTGCTCAGATGGAGCCTGTGTGTGGCGGCCTCGGTCAGGTCCTGCAGGTTCTCCTCCTGCTCCTCCCGGCCTGCAGACCTGGACCTGTCACACCCACCTGCTGCTGACGGATTATCCTGATAATCAACTCTCTGCTATTGTTTACCAAAAGCCTTTCCCGCTGTCCCACTATCAGAACCCCCTGCACTTCTCAGTACCCGTGCCCGGTCCTCCCTGAGTGGCTGGAATTTCCCGAGCACTGCTGAGCAAGAAGGCTTAGTTCCCTATCAAAAATAAGTCTCTCTGCGCCTCAGTACCGGGTCTTTTTAAAAATTTCCCTGAAGCTGTTTCTCATTGTCCTTTGCCATCCTGACCAAGACATCAGCCCAGGGTCCTGTCCTCCTTGGTCACTGCTCAGAGGGGGAGCCTGCCCCTGGGATGCTGGGAAGCCACTCTGAGAAAAGCAGTGGCCGAAGCTGCTGAGGCCAAAGCGGCCGTTTCCTGCCCAGTGGTTTGAGATGAGGGCATCTCACCCAGGGGCCTTCTGGAGCCTGGAAACCAAGCCTCGGGACTAGGAGCTGCAGGAGGAGGAGGCTGAGCCTGGGGGACCTGCTGGCTGCCTTGGGCGTCTGCAGGGCTTTTCCCCAGCGTGCATTTCCCCCAAGGCTGGACTGGGGCCACTGAGCCAGCGTGAAGGGAGACACATTCCAGCTCAACAGGAGGAAGCAGCCCCTCAAAGCCGAGGTTCCTGGCGACACACTTGGTGCCTGGTGATTACTCGGCTTATGGGTGCCGAGGGCTGAACGGCAGGCACACTTCTCCCACTGTATTCAAAACAGACAAAACCACAACCAGCCCTCACGTCCGCCAGCCAGTGGATGGATAAACACAGCAGGAGGCAGCTGTACAGTGGAAATCACATCCGCACTGAGGGCGGAAATCACATCCGCACTGAGGGCGGAAATCACCCCCGCTGAGGGCGGAAATCACATCCGCACTGAGGGCGGAAATTACACCGCACTGAGGGCGGAAATCACCCCCTCGCTGAGAGCGGAAATCACACCCATGCTGAGGGCGGAAATCACCCCCTCACTGAGGGCGGAAATCACACCCATGCTGAGGGCGGAAATCACCCCCTCACTGAGGGTGGAAATCACATCCGCACTGAGGGCCGAAATCACCCCCGCTGAGGGCAGAAATTACCCCCTCACTGAGGGTGGAAATCACCACCACCACCTCCTCCTCCTCCCCCCCCCCTGCTGAGGGCGGAAATCACCACCTCACTGAGGGCGGAAATCACCCCCTCACTGAGGGCGGAAATCACCTCACTGAGGGCGGAAATCACCCCCTCGCTGAGGGCGGAAATCACCCCCTCGCTGAGGGCGGAAATCACCCCAACGCTGAGGGCAGCATTGCTCACACACATGGCAACAGGAACGCGTCGCAGAAACACCGTGCAGGTGGGAGAGGCTGGCGCAGGAGGACTTGCAGCCTGGCTCCATCCACATAAGGTCAAAACACACCAAACCAACTTACGCTTTAAAAAGTCCTCAACAGGGGCCGTCTCTGGGGGATCGGGTGAAACTGACTGGGGAGAGCAGAGGAGTTCTGGAGAGGGTGACAAAGTCCAGGGTCCTGATGGGGCGGGAAGCCCGCCCTGCCCTGGGCCCTGAGGGGGCCTGGGTTACCTGTGTTGATGGATTTGCAAACTTCATCAAATGATACTCTTGAGATTTCTATCATTTCAAACGCAGAAACAAACGCTGCACTCGAGTTAACGGCACGTTGCTGACGTGTCTGAGTGAAGTGGGCGGCTGCTGCATGTTGCTGAAGGGTTTGGGTGAAGCGTGCAGTGGTTGCACCTTCCCGGGCAGTGCATGTGAAATGAGATGTGCCGACAGAGGCCGGCCTGGGGGTCAGCACCGATCACAGGGGGCGAGCGCCGTGCCAGCTGCAGATCCAGGGCCGGCCTGGGGGTCAGCACCGATCACAGGGGGCGAGCGCCGTGCCAGCTGCAGATCCAGGGCCGGCCTGGGGGTCAGCACCGATCACAGGGGGCGAGCGCCGTGCCAGCTGCAGATCCAGGGCCAGCCTGGGGGTCAGCACCGATCACACGGGGCGAGCGCTGTGCCAGCTACAGATCCAGGCCAGCCGCAAGGATGCCCACTGGCTAATTTTTTCAACTTTTCTGTATGTCTCCATTTTTTCATAACAAAAGGAAAATAAAGATAGTTGGGATTTTGTTTGTTTGCTTGTTTTTCTTTTTCTTTTTCTTTTTCTGTTTTAGATGGAGTTTTGCTCGTTACCCACCCTGGAGTGCAATCATGCAGTCTCAACTCACCACAACCTCCGCCTCCCGGGTTCAAGTGATTCTCCTGCCTCAGCCTCCCGAGTAGCTGGGATTACAGGCATGTGCCATTACGCATGGATAATTTTGTATTTTTAGTAGAGACAGGGTTTCTCCATGTTGGTCAGGCTGGTCTCGAACTCCCAACCTCAGGTGATCCACCTGACTCGGCCTCCCAAAATGTTGAGATTACAAGCATGAACCACCATGCCAAGCCGGATAATTTTTAAAAAGTAGTTAAGATGAAAATAATAAGCGTTTTCATGAAAAATAGAAGCCACACATGGATTCTTGCTTTGGATGAGAGAACTGGGTTATGATTAGAGGGAAGTGGGGTGGATTTAGAGACTTGGGACACTCAGCATTCAAGGAGAACAATGGTGGCTGGAGGGTCAGCCAAATGATCCAGGAGCAGCAGGACGGTCATGAAGAAGCCGGCACTCACAGCTGCCCCAGGGCAGGATGGCAGAGCAGGCCCACCATTCCCATCTCCACCCCCAGGCAGGATGGCAGAGCAGGCCCACCATTCCCATCTCCACCCCCAGGCAGGATGGCAGAGCAGGCCCACCATTCCCATCTCCACCCCCAGGCAGGATGGCAGAGCAGGCCCACCATTCCCATCTCCACCCCCAGGCAGGATGGCAGAGCAGGCCCACCATTCCCATCTCCACCCCCAGGGCAGGATGGCAGACCAGGCCCACCACTCCCATCTCCACCCCCAGGCAGGATGGCAGACCAGGCCCACCACTCCCATCTCTACCCCCAGGCAGGATGGCAGACCAGGCCCACCACTCCCATCTCTACCCCCAGGCAGGATGGCAGACCAGGCCCACCGTTCCCATCTCCACCCCCAGGGCAGGATGGCAAACCAGGCCCACCATTCCCATCTCCACCCCCAGGGCAGGATGGCAGACCAGGCCCACCACTCCCATCTCCACCCCCAGGCAGGATGGCAGAGCAGGCCCACCAGTCCCATCTCCACCCCCAGGGCAGGATAGCAGACCAGGCCTGCCACTCCCATCTCCACCTTCCCAAGACCATCACAGGGGAGGGGAAGTCAGTTTACCAAGGACGAGGGACTCTAGTAATATAAAGGAAGGCAGCAGGGTGCGTGTGGGCTGCCAGCCAGGGATGAGGTGGGACCCGCCCACCTGGAGCCCCATGCAGCCCTGCTTCCTGGGAGCCCAGCAGAAGGGGAATGGGGAGGGCCTCAGTGGAGAGGGGGATGGAAGGTGTGAGCACGGTACCACCTGGCAAGGCCCTCCCAAGGCCCCGAGGGGCACCAGGCACAGTTCTCTCATGCTGGCCTCAGCTCCCATTACTTTTACTCCAAAGTGAGGCTTGCAACTGATGGACCTGCACCCCAGGCACAGAGCACCAGGCCAACCTCCCCACTCAGGTGGGGGTTTCTCCAGCAGGAAGCTGTCTACACACAGCAGGAGAGGAGTCCAGGCAGCCTGGGCCATACTCACCCCAGCCAGGACAGAAGCCGGGACCACCCTCACCCAGCCAGGACGGAAGCTGGGACCACCCTCGCCCCAGCCAGGATGGAAGCCAGGACCACCCTCACCCCAGCCAGGAGGAAAGCCGGGACCACCCTCACCCAGCCAGGAGAGAAACCAGGACCACCCTCACCCAGCCAGGACGGAAGCCGGGACCACCCTCGCCCCAGCCAGGACGGAAGCCAGGACCACCCTCACCCCAGCCAGGACGGAAGCCGGGACCACCCTCGCCCCAGCCAGGACGGAAGCCGGGACCACCCTCGCCCCAGCCAGGACGGAAGCCGGGACCACCCTCACCCCAGCCAGGACGGAAGCCGGGACCACCCTCGCCCCAGCCAGGACGGAAGCCGGGACCACCCTCGCCCCAGCCAGGACGGAAGCTGGGACCACCCTCACCCCAGCCAGGAGAGAAACCAGGACCACCACTCACCCAGCCAGGAGGGTAGCCGGGACCACCCTCACCCCAGCCAGGAGGGAAGCCGGGACCAGCCTCACCCAGCCAGGAGGGAAGCCGGGACCACCCTCACCTCAGCCAGGAGGGAAGCCGGGACCACCCTCACCTCAGCCAGGAGGGAAGCCGGGACCAGCCTCACCCAGCCAGGAGGGAAGCCGGGACCACCCTCACCTCAGCCAGGAGGGAAGCCGGGACCACCCTCACCCCAGCCAGGATGGAAGCCGGGACCACCCTCGCCCCAGCCAGGACGGAAGCCGGGACCACCCTCGCCCCAGCCAGGACGGAAGCCGGGACCACCCTCGCCCCAGCCAGGACGGAAGCCGGGACCACCCTCGCCCCAGCCAGGACGGAAGCCGGGACCACCCTCACCCAGCCAGGAGGGAAGCTGGGACCACCCCTCATCCCAGCCAGGAGGGAAGCCGGCAGCACAAAAAGAAAGAGCAATATAAATTAACATATCACTGCACCCAGAGGAAACCAATGGTTTAAGGAACTTAAAAATCCTAAATACACTCAGACATTCAGGATTACATCTATCAAACAGGGACAAGATGCTTTGAAAACGAACAATTAGAACAATTGTCCCCAAAATGTCAAAGATATTAAACATCTCATACCTCACTGATACTTAAAATTAAATAGAGAGGCTTGAAGGTGAGTGTATTATTCAGGGCTCTCTCAGCGGCACAGAACTAATAGGACATATATATACGCACACGAAGGGGAGTTTATTAAGTGTTAACTCACATGATCGCCAGGTCCCACAATAATAGGCATCTGCAAGCTAAGGAGCAAGGAGCCAGCCCGAGTCTCAAAACGGAAGAACCCGGAGTCCCCTCAGGTGGGTTTCGCCTTTTCACAGTTTTTCTGCCCGCTTTATATTCACTGGCAGCTGATTAGATGGTGCCCACCTAGAAAGAGGGTGGGTCAGGCGGGGCGCAGTGGCTCACGCCTGTAATCCCAGCACTTTGGGAGGCTGAGGCTGGTGGATCATGAGGTCAAGAAATCGAGACCATCCTGGTCAACATGGTGAAACCCCATCTCTACTAAAAATACAAAAAATTAGCTGGGCATGGTGGCGCGTGCCTGTAATCCCAGCTACTTGGAAGGCTGAGGCAGGAGAATTGCCTGAACCCAGGAGGCGGAGGTTGCCATGAGCCGAGATTGTGCCATTGCACTCCAGCCTGGGTAACAAGAGTGAAACTCCGTCTCCAAAAAAAAAAAAAAAGAGGGTGGGTCTGCCTCTCCCCATCCGCTGTCTCACATGTCCATCCCCTTTGGCCACACCCTCACAGGCACAGTCAGGGTCAACACTTTGCATGCTTCAGCCACATCAAGTTGACCACTCCGTCCTAACCATCACAGTGAGGCTGAGAAATCGCTCTGATTTGAAACAAAACATCAAAGGAAAATATGAGGAAAGAACCATAAACTACTGCTCTAGGGAATGCCACCCCTGATGTATGGGAGCCCCAGAAAGAGGGACAGTGAGAATGATGGCAGAATGCCTGACAAATCCCTGGAGAGGAGCATTTCCCAAGGCAACAGATAACAGTCTTCAGGCTGAGAAGAACCAGGTGACGCCAAGAAAATTGAATGGAGAAATCCTAGATATGTCCTGTTAAAATTATATGACATCAAAGGTAACAAGTGGCTCCCATGAGCTTCCAGAGAATCAAACAATCAAGTCATCCTCAAAGCAATAGAAATCAGGCTTCTCATCAGCAGCAGGAATGCTGCAAACTCCCAGAACGATGCTC